CATGAGAAACGGCCCAGAACCCGAGAAATGGGACCCCTTCCTTGCCCGTTGATTTGAGCATTGATGCGACTCTCATCGCTGTGCCCTCTTCAACACTACGCTCTCTCAGCTATCTAATCACTCGCCACCTATTGTACTACGGCGAGTGATCAGACGATCGGTGGGCGGAGATCGCCGAACTCGCCAACTTTGAGCCATGCTAGATCTCAGAGGTCAAATCTTTCGATGCCGATTGCGTGTCTGTCCGCACCCTCAAGAGATTCACCGCTCTCCCCACTAGGCGATTTCTCCCTTCTTCGACCTTCGTTCTTTCCGTGCAATCCTCCTTTAAATGCAACCAGACAACCATGCGCTGCGCAGATTCCAAAATTTTTTACAACCCTGTCCCCTTCGGAGGGTGTGTCCATTGTGCCCTTTTGCATATTTTTGGTCCATGATCGGTGTGTGGGCCTCACCGCCTTGAATAGGTGGTGGACAGTGGTAAGTCCGCGCCTGAAGAAGCTGTAAGAGGTGGTTCCCCAACTAGGACGAAATACAGTTTTGAGAAACGGAGTATTTTCCGAATGTTCGAAAACTCCTTGTAAGCTTTTGGAGCTGTATAAGAAGCCCCATAAGCCCAAGTTCATTTGAACCTTCGCCATGAAATTTTCTTCGGATCAACTCATAATCAAGAGACTCCGGCCCAAGGCCCAAGGACGGTCTCCAAAGTTGCGATTCGGACAGCGACTTGATATTCCCTCTTCTACTCTTCGAAACATCTTCGCTGCTCTCAAGGTTCAATACACATCTTTGGGATCGCAAAAGTGGAAGGTCGAGAACTGTGCACCCGGATAAGGGCAATCACCTAGAATAGGACCACTCACAACGATGGAACCACCGTGAGTCAATCCTTCCAGAAAATCTTGGGACGCATTCGTATTCTGAAGAGCTACCGCCTCTATTCATGCAGGTTTCTATTGGAGCAATCCGAATCAAAGCGACCGATAAAATGCAAAAAGTTTTTGACCCTGTCCGAGGCGCGAAGAGGAGCAACGAGGAGAATCGCATCTCATCACAAATCAAGGGACTAACAAGAAGGGGGTTTCGTTTCTTGGGGTGTAAGCTGCTTCACTAATCGCCCCTTATTAACTTCGGACTGAGCTGTTTTTCATCATAAGCTCCGTCTTCGATGTTGCGCTTTCAAGCTCGTCCACTTGTATTTCACTTCTTGTTTCATCTGTCCTCAGCACTGAATTCAAACATCGTTGGTCTTGGATTTTTGTTTGAAAACCCCCTTTCCTTCAGCAAATTTTAAAAAGTGGTGGCTTTCAAGTGCGGTGTTTCGCTCCGAGTAGTGAATTACAGAGCCAGCTGATGTACACGTTATTGTGAGCGATTATTCTGCTGTATTAACACACGAAATAAAGGACATTTCGGCAAAATCAGTGACTTCTTTGTTTGCAATGTGTGAATTAGGTTGGATAGACGAAAAACAACAAAGGCGGCATCACCGCCTTGATCCAGTGTTTCTGGTGTTTTTCTTTGGGGGGCTTTGCCCGATTGAAGGAGGATTACTCGTAGCATTGCAGGCTGAGCGAAACGACTCACAAATAGACTAAACTATGTAGAACTCGTGCTTTCTGGTACCTTTAGTGTCAAAACTCAAATCTTCCTGCAATCGACCTGGAAAGGTGAGGTCCCAGTTTAAGATCCAGTTTGGTACATTCGGATGTGTGCGCCCTTGAGTACGATTTGGCCGAAAGCCAACCAAACAGCAAATGAATTTCACATTGAAAAAGACCTTCATAAAGAACTATACATCAGACCGCTAAGTACTACCCAGTCCAAGCAGCTCTCAGTGAGAGGCGATAATCAGAAACCTGTATCGCATACTTCTTATAAATGGATTTGAAACGGTTGGCAGACAGATCCAACTGAGGAACGTGTCTTTATTAATGAAGAAGACGAGTGGAGTATCCTAGTTTCCTCCTGCGAGTAAAAATTGGAAGTTTCAAAAGTCAGTATTCGTTTCTCATTAGGTCTCACGAGGAAAGGCCCTCAGATCGCCATAGCTACCCTGAGCTGTTACTATTTGCTTCTGGAAACCTGATCTCAAGTCTGCCTTTAAATTCGGTTCTCGATTTCTTTCTACTGAACGATTCTCCGAGCGGAGCTAAGAGCCTAAAGGCGCTGCAGTAGTGAGCCGAGCTCTGAAACAAGGCCTTCTGTGGTCGGTTGTTCTGCATGCTTGCTCTTTGTTTCTGTCTGCGGCTTTTTAAAAGCACTTATATACATTGCTTCAACAGTGCCTGCCTACACATATGAATAGTTACCCATATAAGTAGTTTTAAATGAGTTTCCGCACCATGTGTCAATGATTGCCCGTAGCGCTCGCGGTACGCCTTTTTTGCCGAACTCGTACGATCAGCAAGTTCAGGAGGCAAAATCACTCCTGGGGGCAATTTTCCGGTCAAATCTGAAAACTCGCCCAGTTTCAGAAGTGAGCCGTCTTCACTCATCAAGCTGTCAGTTGATGTTGTCCTTGTTAAGAATTCAATTTCTGGGCCACGCTTCTGGAATTTCGGGGAGGGGACCTATGTACTCCTTGTCAACTTATCCTTGGTAAGAGAGCAATCTTTGTGAGCTGGTCAATTTTAAGGGTAAGATAATGAGTATAACGGCACATTTGAGATGCACTTTCGATATGGAGCGGTGAGTGCCCTACATTTCCCACATCCTGCCCACATTCTATCCGATTTTTGGAATTGGTCCAGCCTGTAGATCAACCGTGCGTCCCAGGATCAACCGTGCGTTGCGCAGATTTCAAAATTTTGCGACCCCTCTTCTTCGGAAGGTGTCAGAACGACCTCCTGTGATACTGTTGTGTCTTTTTACAGTAAGTCCACGCGCTTTGTCTTATAGGGCGGAGATCGAGGCACTTTGAAATTTTACACATTAAATAGAGGTAACCTACAAATTTTTGCGTTAACCTAGGCAGAGTACTAATCGCAGAGATTTCTACTTTCAGAAAACAACCAACCCGCAAATCTCCTCTTTTATGAATTAAATAATGCAGCAATTACATTACGATACATACAGCCGCCTAAAAGGTCATATCTTTCTTTAAAAGCATTCTCGTAAGATGGGATACAAAAATCTGAAACCTTCAAATTGTTTCCTTTCTGGAAAGCTTTTAAACTTATGCAAATATTCGAGTTTTTCAAAGAAATTGTCCCATTGTTACCCTTTTTTGTGCACACGCAAGTTTTCATCATTCAAACGTTCATAACTTCCTTCTTTCGTTCTTTGCCACTAAGCCATGCCTTGGCAGCTTCTAATGATGCTTTAGGTTACAACCCCGTCTTCTTCCATTGGCCAACTATGAGGTCTCCTTGCGCACGGACGGTGACCCTGCTTAGCTTCTCCACCTTAGGTCTAAGCGAAAATCCCCGTTTGTTTCTGATTCAGGAGCATCTTCTGGAGACCATTGCAGGCCGAAATGTGTAAGCGCCTCGAGAGTTCTTTCACACTTCACCGTTACTCATCAGAAGTCTTGTTTATTTCACATGAGTTTATTACGTGCCATGAGCTTGTTCCTACCTCGTATCGGAGACAACAACGAAATGCCCCAAACCCCCAAACTCCAGTCACCCTTTAAAGTGAGGTCAAATTTTCAAATTTAACCAGAACCCATTCAAACCTTATTTTTGAACTCAATACAAAATAAATGTCTTATAGTGAAATGGACACCGTAACTGTTCGAGACATCTGCACATAGTTCTGCGCATTCATACATTTGTTCGAAAAGTGACAGAGGGAAGAGAGTCACTTTCGTCATGCGACTATGCCCTTTCCTACAATTTTTGAACGCGTCCGTTCACGAACTTTTTTGCTGGCTAATCAAACATTTTGAATGATAGTAGAGTATGACAAAATCAAAATCTCAGAAGCGTACTTTGTAGCAAGCCCACTCGCCAAGATTATATCTTTGTGGTCATATCTCAAGAGATTCTGAAAGGATTGCCCTATCCGAGAGGTGCTGGATTAGCAACATGAGCATGCCGTTTGAAAGTACGCTGATCGTTACATTAATCGCGGTGGGTGGGAAGAGTTGCAACGAGAGTCGATGGTAGCAGGCCCGTAATGACTGGCGCACTAACCGTGCTATTTGCGCGACGAGCTGACCTGCATCCATGAGTAGGGACCCCACACTTCCCTCGGTAGAAGGCCTCCCTACTCATTGGGCTAATCCGGACAATGCCTTCACACTCTTAACTTACATAATCTGACGCTCACTGTAAGCCAAAATGGAGCTTCTCGTCCACAACAACCCTCTAGAGTATATCGTGAATGAGGCGTCACTACATTGGCCCACGGCCCCCGATCTGTGGCAAATAAGGCATTTATGTACTGTTTCGCAAGGACAAAATTGCGCCAAAAACAGCAATTTGCTCATGCAGTGATCCTCCTCATAGCTCACGTCGGTAAAAGAAAGAGAAAGAAACTTGAGTTTCGCCCTGGTGAAAGTGTTCTGCTCATAACTCAACTTTCTTCGGGTAATTTCAGCAGCAAACCGCTGCCAAAAACACATGCCGCTGACCAATTTTCCAAACTACAAACCAGTTTTCCGTGTACGAGTCCTTCAACCTCGGTGGACAAAGCGTGCCTCCGTCTAGTGGTGCCGATGGCGTAAACCCCATGTTCGCATGGCACAAGTCCTTTTCCAAGGGCGATTGTGATCTTGAAGAGGAGGAGCGCCACCGCGCAGCCACCGAACTTTTCTGTACAACCTCTTTTGAGCCTTGCTATGTGTTCAAGTAGCCAAAAAATGTTGTAGACGCAAGAACAAATCAACAACGAAGCATTTGCGCCAGAGGACTGATAACTGGCATTCCTTCATTGTGATTCGATCTGCAAGTGGCTGTAATAGCATATCTTTATTCTGACCATCATATGAAACATTTTGAACGCTATGAAGTTCATTATCACCCTTATGGATGCTCGAATTACAGCATACTGAGCTAACGCGGAGGCTTAGCAGTAGTAGTAGGAAATATGCTTCTAAAATGCACAATCGTATGTGTGCCTAAACTGAACACAACGTGAACACTTACGAGTCGAACAAGCACTGGACGGTTATATGGTGCTCACTACTTTTTTCGGTGAACAGCAACACAGCACATCCAAATCTGTTTCTTGCGGTAAGTACCTCAAATTAAGGAAAAGGTAATATTTTGAATAAAGTGCCTAGTGCGCACTACTCGAGACATTGACGACAGTGAGATGCGGTTTTCATCCAATTCTAGCTAGTTTTTTTTCGATTTATCTGGCATTTTTCATATTTCAGAACAGTGTGCATGCATTATCTCATCCGAAAAACTGTGCATCAATCACCAGTAGTGGAATTATTGAAAAGTTATGATGATTGTGAAAAAAATAAAAAGGTGCCGAGGTACACGCACAAGGGGCTGTCGTCAATGTGTTATTGAGTTTCGTGAGTCAAAAAGGATTTGAGGGTCCACATAACTTACCCGACCTATACATGGATGTTTACCACTTTGTGTCATCGCAATATCCAGCAGCGACCCCTCTATACACTTGCCCATTACACTGAAAAAGGCTATCGTGATGATTACAGAAGTTTGTCGCCAGCGCTTGGGCAAAATTTTTCTCAACATATTCGATTTCTATGGAGTAGGCAGAAATAGAGCACCCCTTCATTTCGCATTCAGCATTTCTTGGCCCACGATTCCATTCTCCGATTAAGGCTAGTTCTGCAAGGTGGCAATCGAACCTCTGCAATGAGCTAATTTTACAGTTATATACACATTGTAAGTCATTTAAATAAGCTTCAATTAGAGAGCTACTTACGATATGGGCACAATATTGTGGGAACGCAAAAGAACAATGCTTTGGCGTTCTGCACATGATTCAAGATTCGCTGTCTCAAGAATATTGGGCATTTTCTCATACTCTATTAAAGAATGTAGCTCCTAATCCGGAGAACAACATATTGACATTGGAGTTAGCCATATAAAGAAGTTCCCTAATTATTGGTTCCTGCTGTAGGGACTTCAGTCCCAGCTACTTATTTTTTTGCCAAAATGCGCCAAAAAAGATACACCGCTCGTGCGATGACAACCAGAGTCAACCCTGCGTTGCGCAGTTCGCAACGGCACGTTGAGAGATCCTCAACGCACGCTGTATGGGCGGAGACACAGACGGCTCGAGCATGCGAGTGTGAATGTTCGCGCGAGAGAACGTGTCTAATCGGGCGAAACTGCGCAACGTGGCCGTTGAGAACTGCGCAACGCAGGGTTGACTCTGCATAATACTGAAAACAGTAGCAATGACTTAATAAACCAATCCTTGCCACTTTTTTACTTTTAATCTTCAATGCTTATTTTGAATTCCCCTCGCTCAAAAAAGCTTGTCATTCATTGATACTAATAGCGATAATATAAAATATTAGGTTGTCGGAAAAGTTCTTGCGCATTTTCTTCTTTCATCTTACAAAATCTTTTGGACCCTTTTGAAGCATTCACTGTGTAACGCACCTAAGCGGTGGTCAATGGTCTCTCCATAGCATTTGTGTCTTTTAGCTGAAAAGTATTTTTTGAAGGTATGTTTGACCGCTCCCGCTTCATAAGCACACAAAGTGCGTCGCTTCAAGCGGCAGTAAGGGGCCTACGCGTTGTGATGGGTAAATAACCACAGCCTATTAAGACGATAAAATTTTGCATGGACATTTTGATTTGCCGCCCGTCTCTCGCTTGATCCGCCAACTTTGTTGGTGGTAACAAGAAGTGGGATCCTCAGATAAACCGCACGCGAAAGCACGACTGGCTCGGATGCGTAGAACAAAGGATTGCAACGCCGATTCGAGAACTGCAACCTGGGAGGCAACTTTGAAAGCTCATGAGGCTGCAAATGTTTCGCTCACGGAGAGCTGCTGCCAACGAAGTCCACTGCTATTGGTGAACAATAATGTTGGCAAGTGGATCGGTTTGATCGGCATGGTGCCCGGAAAATATGAGAAAGTTGCCACCTGGGCAAGCTCACCCATGAATTAAAACTTCTTCAAGTCTAGTTAGTGTCGTTGCCATGTGTATTGGTACATATGACAAAGAGTACATCTAGACCGAAGAGGTTTCCGAAGGTCATAACTGCAACGATTATACTTTGCGATTCTCAAATAGATGCTGTGGCAAGGAGGGTAGAGAAGATCAACGCTGTAATGGGCACCGTTTCTGCTACTGACCAGGTCGCAATGACAAAGACGATACAGCTGAAATAATTGAAATGCCATCGCGCAACAGCTCTTGGGATAGACCACATCAGTACAAAAAAGCAGTCCTGATCGTCTCAAAATCTCCTTCCTTCATATGAAAGCTCACCCTCACATTGCAAAGTTGAACTCATCACGGTTTGAGGGAAGTTGGCTGCGCTCCGACACCATATCCACCGTGGGTCAGTGAATACAACCACCACCAAAAACGACCTTGGTGACTTCAGCCCTTAGCTACATTTTCATTCGAAAAGAAAAGCATTCAAAGGTTTTTGAAAATTGGATGCATATCACTGTTTATGATAATGGTTACATGATTCATTCATAATTGAAGAAAAAATTCAACGATAATAAACTGTCTAAATTCGAATAGAATTTATGGTGCAACCCAATAAAATAGCTGGGAAACGAGTGAGAGGATTTTCAAAATGTGTTATAAGTGCAGCCAACGCTTCAAGCACTGCTGTGAGACGTTTTCGCGTTCTTTGTTGAAGTTTAGACGATCCGACGTGAACAACTGCCGATTTATTGTGTTATGTTCAAATGACATCAGAGCGCTTACTAGTGCTGTTTTTCTAGGAAAGTACGTGGTACGCGTCACATTCATGGCAGTAGTCAGAACGGTTTGCCATCTCTCGGGAACACTTTTATAACATTCATCATCTGGAAAGAAAGTCGCACTTCCTAATGTCATTATGATAATGTAATCCAGGAGAACGTACCTTTTTTCGACTCTCCTGTTGTAAGTAAGAAGAGACTACACACCTGAAGACCAAAACTACAAAAATTTCTAACAGTCGATGTGCTTTATGTCAGCGCTTACAGCCTTACTTTCTATGTTAGCCCTTTTACTTTATAGCCTTTATAATTCGGATGTGCTAAGAAACACATCCGAGCTTCACATGATAGCATGGCTCATGGATTTAGGTTGTAAAGCTACAGAAATTCTTCTCAAAAACACTAGCACAACGTACCAGTGAAAGTTTGTAAAGGTTCATAGCCAGTAAGCGATAGTCTCAACTCGGCTGGGAAGTGGTACACTGCAATGCATGGTTACTTTTATTAGAATTTGAGCTTAACTATGAGCGGCAGCTTTAGAAACCGTTGGTGACAATCATAGATGGAGCTGTTTCGCGTAACTGCTCGTAGCATTTAAATCCACACGTAGCCCTCAACATGGTCGATTTTTTCACGCTGTTATGGAGTAGTTCGTTCGTTGGTGGCACATACACGAAGCGACAATTATGTCAGTGAAGCGTAAGTGAGTGAACCTCATCCAGCACGCGAGTGCTATATTCCTTCTCTACTCATTCTTCTACGAGAGAGTGAGTGGAATATTTAATAGCTACGTTTAACGCATTATCTTACTCCATCTAAAAGTTGGCACAGAAACGCAGGAGGAATACTGATGCCTGTCGTCGTTGATCATTCGAATTGCTCGAGCGAGCGCCAGCAAGTCTCCATGTCGTCCCGTGTTCGTGAAAAGTACAGCAGTATTCTGACGAGGCGTGAAAAGGTGGAATGTTCGGAGTATACATATTCTGTATTTGAGGGCCGCATGGGCAGGAGTTGTCGCAGGTTGATAGGACCTCCTCGCTCTGACTCCGCGCTCCACACTCCCTCTCCTCTCCCTTCTCGATACAGAAGTTCAGCCTCTCGAGATAAGGTCCTGGTACGGCATATTCGGGGGCCAGCGATACCCGTGATGCGAGATGTCGTCTTCACCGTCCAGCGTTGAGATTCGTTTGAAAGAGGCTAGATACTCCCGAAAGGAAAGGTCAGAACATACCATTGGGATATTGTGCCATAGTTGCTCGAGTGACAAGAATCAGATCTGAGTTCGTGTTCACGGCCCAACCTTATTTCGACTTTCCGTCTGGCTGAAAACAACGGCAGACAACAAAACGTCCCTGCCTGCGCACGAAGTTCAAGTCACTCTGCAGCAGCGATAGGTATTAAAGGGCAGGAAGGACAGCGGAATCGAAGAGGTGGGCACGGAGCGGATTCTTCGTCATTCTTCTCACTACTCCCTCGATGTTCTTGTACGCTCCCCAAGCCGCTCGTTTCCTCCTGCTCAGCTCTGGAGCTAGATCGTTCATCATATTGATTTCCGACCTAGGTACACGTAGCTGGAGCATTCGGTGATGTTCGTTCCGTTGAGCGTGAATGGGGCATCAGGAAACCAATCCGTTTCTCATAAACACATGTGACTCTCGTATAGCGATAACACAGCTAACTCGAGACACCCTTACCATCAGCGACGCACCTTACCTAACCATACGCAACGTAAATTGGGGCTCCCTCAGAAATCAGGGGAATGAATGGCCATCCATATTGCTGTTATTCGGCACTATCGAAGGCACATGTCGAGGCTCTGTGTGTGGGGCTGGATAGATTCTCAGCTTAGTCAGCACGAACGATCCCTGGAGCTGAAATAAAGAGGCTTATTTCTTGGAGGCGGTACCGCAGTAGCCTCACTGTAATCCTCTCCCAATTACTATTGATGCAAATGCTTTTGCATGTGCCGACACACAAGCAAACAGATTCACCAACGCACACACAACAGAGCGCACACATCACGCATGCAGCAAAGTGAACAGGGAATCCACGCTCGTTTATGGCAGAAAGCTCGAGTATTGAATCGACACCTAGCGATACTTACAGAAACAGGACAGCTCACTCCCACTGAATCACCTCGCGTCGTCAGGGAAAGGTATGTAACATGGTGGCTTTGGTTCTGCCACATTGGGGTCGCGCCACGTAGCTCGCACCCCAAGCCGCTCGAGTCTTTTTAGTAGAGAGAAGGACACCTCGTGAAAGAAATCGTGGTACAGTGAGGATAACGAAGAATTATCCCTTCCCCGCCACCCCCTCCCGCCCGAGTTCCAGACCATGGGTTCCTAAAAATGGGCGAGTCTGTTCATAGATCTTGGCCAGACCAAATTGCCCTAGCCAGTAATTTGGGTCGTTATGGCGTGATCCTGAAGCATTGATCACTTACGAGCGTCGCCGCAAAAAGCGACGTACCGCATGCGCGGATAGTCAAAAAACTGACTTTTGATAAATAATGTTCGTTTTAATACACAGCAAGGCACTGTTGATAGCAATAGTGATAATAAGTGACTTTCAGAACGCTGACAGACATAATAAGAGAGGCAAAAATGACCAAGAACAACCGGATACTAGGACCATTACTTTAGAAGCTCGGAGCACCAACTTACTGTGACCTCCTATAGCGTTTACTAAGTTGCGCTTCGGAAACGATACAAAAATGTAGATTTGCAAAGATTTTCGATAATGGCAGACGCTCGAAAATCAACGTGATTTGCCATCTACGCCAAAAAGTACCAGACACACTCTGAGATGAATTACCGGTCGAAGGAAATCTCGACAGGAGGAACGGTTCGCACATGTAGTGAGAGTCGATGGGAGTCGGTCAGCGCCGTATAAAGTAGCGTTACAGGGCCTCAGTGGTGCAGTCGGTTATGAATGTATTGTTATCTCAGCAGAACACAAGTAGGTGCCTGGGACGGTCACGACGCTTGAAAATATTTTTTGCAGGCTTCATTTCGCGCGCGTGCATTCTAATTGCACCTTAGGAAGCGAGTGTCTTGAAAAGCAAGTCAGCGAGCAATCGAAAGTAGCAGTTTGCCAATGGAGACGGGGACACACAAAATAGTGTCACACAGCGCTACAAGGCACATTCTTTATTACCTCCTGCCCACGCTCTATAATTACTCTGTTGATTAGACAACTGTTGTCAATAGCAAAAACGACCATATTTTAGAATTTACGCATGTGGCTTTGCACAAATGAAGCTTGTTCTATAGTTATAGGAAAGCAACGAGATGTATATGTTACCACTTCTGTCAACTGGTCATGATCATATAACACCTTCCAATCGATTCTGCAACTTCGAGTGAGGTCGGATGCATGGCCTATACCCAGACAAAATCGGATGATGACGATTGCCCCTTTTCTTATTGCTTATGTTGGAAGAATGTATTCTAGACACATTTCGAGCGTTGCCAACGAATTACACTTGCAATGGTGAAGAAGGGAGCGGCTTTTTGAGCGGCCGAGAATCATCCTCGATAGATCCTCGACGCAAATATCTCCTCAACTAGAGAATGTAGAAGGAAGCTAAACATACTGTTAGAAAGCGCAAACCTTCCGCTTTCCAAAACTGTCTTCGTTTTTTCAAGATCTTGCGAAATTAGAGAGATATTGCCTTTTAAGTGGCAAAAACTCGCATGAAAATTTCAGCATCCTCGACGCTCCCTCGACGGATTTTGAGAGACTATATCTCTTCGAATGGAAGGCTTTCATAGCAATTCCAATACTGCCTGATAGTAGCAAATCTAGCTCTATCTAACCCTACCGCGTGCTGCTTCAAAAGGTTGGGAAATGGAGGAATGGAACCTTTTCATCGAGGGTGTAGATTTCGACGGTTTTTTTCGGGATTTCAGCAAATCTGACCCAGTGACAATCGCGCCGCAGCTGCCGTTGAATCGGCCTTTGATACACTCGGCTGTTTTGATATACTCAAGCAGGAATTAAGATTGAATCGCAACCCCGTGCCTTCAGGATTTCTGTGCATTTCTGAACGAACCTGACTTTGAGGTCACACAAAGTTAATGCCTCTTTCCTCGAGTCGATATTTCAGTAAATACACAAAAGTGTGCAGCGATGAAAGAAAGTGCATAGATGACAAGATGAGGCGTCCATAACATTATTTTGCAGGAATTTTTTTGATTATTTAATTGAATTAATTGCGTATGCTCTGTTTTAGGGGGTCGTGCCAGGATCTCGATTTCAGGGGGGGGGGGATCTCTGCGACCACGTACTCGACACGATTTTACCCTGCAAGTACAGGATAGCAATGGAAATGAGGCTACCGGACG